GACAAGTCCATAGTGCAGTTCCTCACACCCCAGAAGAATAACTTTCTGACTATTTGTTGCAAAGGGTACATAAGATGAGTGCAAGTCACTAATATACTTGAAGTTAAATGTATTTTCTGGATTTTCTAAATGTATAGACTCATGTTATTGTATATCTTGTACACTTAATGGCATATGTTTAAACTACAGTGTGACCCAATTACAGTTGCAATAGAAACAATAATAATAGTAATAGAAACCCGAATGTGATGGTGCTTGGGGTTTATTTTTGTTATGTTAATTTCCTATTTTTTTTACGTTAGTGTCTGGCTTTACTGTTTATGAGAAGGTATGTGGACAGCATGGTCATGGTGATGCTAGGGACTGCTTGTAGAAGTTGATGCTGAGCTTTCTTTAGCAAGTGTTTGGTCCTTTGTGACTTGTCTGCATGGGAAAACTTGTGTACTATAAGTTAGGCTGTAAATTTATAGTGCATTAGCTGTTATATAGAAAATTCCATGTAGACATTTAGCACATACAGAAAACATTCCCATTCAGTAAGGATTCCTGCGTTTTGGAGGTGCTGCACTCAGTTATTCTTTGCGTGGTGAGATCATTCACACAGGTCAGCACAAGTAGCAAGTGTACTATGAGCTTGTACTCATAACTTTGCCTTTTTAAATTTTTCCATGTATTCAGGGGAGAGGAGAACTTTTTTTTAAATCCATTCTTCAAAACAAGTAGTGGAAAAACTTAATGTTGTCTGTACATGCAGGTCTCCAGATAAGCTCAAACCCACACCACACTTCAGCACCTGTTTATGAAGTAAGTCAGGGCAGCAGGCAGTTTCCTAGTAGGGAGATACATAAATTATGCAACTTGCTGTCATTCCTAGGAGTAAACAGGAAGTTCTTGCAGAGATACTAATGTTTTTTTCAGAGGTTCATGGTGAATGACACAGAAACTGTGCTTTTCTCACCTGTGTTGGCAACATATTAGATAATCTGTTGATATGTACAACATAAAAACTGAAACCCTAAGGGACGATCTGTCCAGAAAAACCTATTGTGTTACGGTGGAATAAGGCAGGTTAGTCTGTTGCTACCTGGCCTATCTCAAACCCATGGAGAAATAGAGGACTTTGTTTTCCTGCTTGGGAAGTCTGGCACCTTTTAATGAGCAGTAAACTCACTTCAGTATTAAAGCTGGGACATTTTTATGGTTCAGTGTGTCTTGTGTATTCTTGGGGTGAGAGAATCACACAGCAGCGCTGAGCCATTCTGAGACCCCGAGGACAGAGCTGCTCAGTTTTACTTCGCGATTCTCCTGCCTTTAAGAGCGCACAGCGCGCTCTTGTAACCATGAGACTGTTCCTATCTGTGCATGTAAACACATAAATGAGCTGTTTTATACTGGCAATTAGATACTCCAGAGAGTTGTGAAGCTGTGAGATATTGCTTCACTTAGGGTGGTTGCAACTACTTGGCCCACAGCCTACGGCTTTGTTGCCTGCAATAGGTGTTAGCAAATGGCAATGCTAATGCACTTAATGATATCATTACTAATCAGCAGCCTGGTCAGAACAATTGACCTTCATTGATCTTGGTATTTCTGCTTTTATTTCTTCCTCTGCCCTTTGTGACAAGCTGTGCAAGCTATTTGCCTTTGAAAGGATGTAAGCAGTTATATTGCAACACTTTAATTTTAGTTTGGCTGATTTATTTTAATGAATGCTATTATGAATTGTTTCTCTTTTTTTGTTTTAAATCAGTGTGCCATGCCGAATTGAATGCCATCATGAACAAAAACTCAGCTGATGTTAAAGGCTGCAGCATGTATGTTGCCTTATTTCCATGTAATGAATGTGCAAAGCTTATCATCCAGGCAGGTAAGGAGTAGTGCCAGCTTGATTTGTCAGGGTTGCATTGCTGCCTACTCGTTGGTATCTTATCACGAATGTATTTGATGTTAAATTGCTGCTGTTAGATCTAAATTAATTGCACCATCAACTTCCTAAGATGCTACTTGTGGGGGTTTTTTTTGCATCTGAATGGTGCCAGATTTTTTCCAGTGCTAATTGCATCTTCTGTGATTCTAAGCGTGCTTCTAATTTAGGTTTGTAACTTCTTAGACCAGGAGCTGCCAAAGAACAACACAGGCTTTGCATATAATTACTGTCAATTTTACTGTGCTCTGACACATTGAATAGAGTAGAGCAGAAAGAAATAAACTTCTGCATGACAAAAGGTCTGTTGGGAGTATATACATGAAATTTTAATTTGAATGTGACGCATGGTAGATATTTGAAGATTTTAAAATATCTTTGCTCATAAATGTCATAAGACTTCTATGATCCTACTTTAATTATGTCTTTCATTACAACTGTTATAAATCTGTGCCACTGCAGCAAGTGTGCTGGCCTAAATGTGTCGCCTTTTTCAGATTAGGTGTCTCTGCAGTAGGCTTTGGCTCCATAAAAATCTCTGCTTAAGGTAGCATGTATTTTGCTTATTGAGGAAAGTCTTGCAGTCCTAGCATGTGTTGCTATTCGGCGAGTTTCTTGCCCCACTAATGGCTATGGGAATCTAGGAAGAAAGTAGCAAGCAGAATGCTTCTTTATTTTGGTCAGTAAGGTTTGAAATGAAGAGAGGTGAAGGGGGAAAGATGATGATATTCTGTATTTGTGCTATATTTCTCTTACGAACAAAATCAAAATCAAATGGTGTTCAAGGTAGGCTGGCTGCTTGTTCTGAATGTAGTCACTCACCCTTATGCACTTAGGTCAGCACTAAGTTGCAATGTATTGATATTTATGTTGTCTGATAAATACAGTAAGATGTTGATAGGCTCTGAAACACTTGTGAATTCTCTTGGGTCAGCCTTTACACTTGTCTCCTGCTTAAGTAATTTAGGCATAGATCATTCAACAATTTTGAGACAGCATGCATTTGTTTGTAATTGGAAGCTGGGATTGGGAAATATTTATAAAACAGAGAACAAAAGGAAAAAGCATCTTTTTATAGCTGTGCATTTGGAAAGGGAATAGGATTTGGGGTTTAAGTTCTTTTTGAGGTGTTTTATCTATGTTAGAGAGGTAGAAAGGTAAGTTTTCAATTACTTTTTAAAAATGCTTAATTTCTAGTCTGTCTATTTTGTGTGTTTGCCTGTGAGATTTTTGCTCTGGTTTTCTGAGTTAAACTTGGGTCAGTTTTGAAAGGTCTGTTCCTAAACAGCTCTACTGTCCATCCATGGCATTATTCTTAAGTGCAATCTATAGTATTTTGGGAAGTAGGGGTGTACCAAGGAGTTCTAGAGTATGTGGATGAATGCTGTCTGTTCCGAATTTGGCACTAGTTTTTATATGAAATTACCTTTTTTTTTTTTCCCAGTGTAATTCTAGCATGTTTTCTGTATGACTTTTTTAGGCATAAAGGAAGTTATTTTTATGTCTGATAAGTATCATGACACTACAGAAATGACAGCTGCACGGCGGATGTTTGATTTAGCAGGTATTATATACAGGTAAGAGAACTTTGGATTAACTTTATTTTTATTTTGGAAAGGAAGAAAATGGTCTGTGAAAGAGACCAACTTTAAGGCAAAAGATTTCTTCTTTGCCTTGTGCAGCATTTTATTCTTTGTTAGTGTTTATAGATGGCTTGTTCTGTATGCCTGCAAAAGATACTGGATTGACAGACTGTTGCACCATTCTTTTTGCCTTGTGTATGGTTAAATTTCAATTTCATAACGTTTATATGAGAAAATGGTCCGTTTGGAATACTCATTTCATTCCTGCACTGCAAGTGAAATTGCAAATGTGATGGTTATTTGTTGCATTGTACTCAGGAGAGTCATTGCTGACCCTGCTTCAAGCAGGAGGTTAGACTCGATGATCTCCTGAAGTCCCTTACAACTTGAATTTTCCTGTGATCATATGAGTTGGACTGAAATGACCAGTTGATTTTTTATTATTATTATTTTTTTTTGTGGATTAACTGATCCTTATTGAGACTTTAGTATCTTTGTTGCAGTCAATTTAGGAAGGTGTCAAACCAGCCACCCATAATTAATTCTTGGTGCCTATAGCTATCCAGTCTTCTTTGGTCAGCTTTTCTTGTGAGAAAAGGATAAAACTTTGAATATTTGCCTTAAAGTAATGAGAATCTGAAAAATGTTTGAAGAGTGGGGTTTTAAAAGACACTGACAGAGATACCTAAAGACAATCTGTTCAACAGCTAGTTTAATAGCAATAACATGCTGTGGGTGAGTCTAATTATGCAGTCAGGAAGGCTTTGCAACTCTAAAAAGTTTTACAATATTCATATAAAGGCTTCAGAAAATTTGCAAACATAACAATTCTGACAGATAAAATTTTAGGATGAAAGGTACCTACTGGGCTAGGAAACATCCATGAAAAAAACACAGCAGCGCTTGAAATTCAATTTCAGTCCTTCGTTGTATTTCCTGTCTACTAAGACTATTTGAGTAAGAAGCATAGATCATTCTCTTGCAAGTCAAATCTTGTAACTTCTCCAGGGTGAGAAATGTTTCTTGCATTTCACATTGCTATTCTGGGGAAAGTATTCTGAGTTTCAGTGGTCAGCAGCATGTGCTTTTCTGTGTTGACTGTTACCTATTGTTGTATTGATTATTAGGGATGTAGGTGGTACTTAATGAATCTGTTGAACTAAACTGCAGAGCTTAATTAGGCACTAAATCCACACTATTTGCATAATCCTTTGTTTACTGGTAGACTGGAAAATATATGCTCAGTCCCCAAATACCTTCCTTCCTAATTGCTGTAGCAGATGCTCTAATGATAATAAAAGGAAACATTTTGTGGCAGTATTAATTTAACAGTTCTAAAGTTACAGTTTTTAAATTATTCCCTCTTAACTAGTTTGGTTTTTCCCCAGGATGATGCATAATGTGATCTATTCCCTTAGCACAAAAAATATTTTAATATACCGAGGCAGAGTTTGAAAGTGTGCTTTGAAAACTTGGCAGGAAAAAAGTGATCAAAATATTTATCAAAATATATTCCAAATATCTTTTATGTATACATGTGTATACATATACGTGTATATATAATGCATCCAGAGTATATTAAAATATTTTTATGGATCTGTATATGTGTGTACCTGTATCTGTAAACATATATTAAAAATATTCAAAATATAAATATATATGAATAAAATCCCAACCCTGGTAATATGATGCCACCACCTGCAGCTAAGTTGTTAAAAGTCCTTTGACTCCTGGGTAATTTATGAACTCCAATAGCTGAAGAATGCACAGGCTAACCCACCCCATGTGTCTTTTTTGTCTTAGTCTTTCTTGTCCAGGTTTCTCGCAGTGTGGTGCACTATAATTGGCTCCCATAGAGATGAAAACTATGTGAATCCAAGGAGGGGTTTTTTTTTTTTTATTCCTTCAAAAATTTAGCTGGAGCTATAGCAAGCAAAATGTTTTAACTACTCACTAACTAATATCTGTATTTTTCTTTATTTTAGGGAATTCAAGCCAAAGTGTAACAAGATCATCATTGACTTTGATTCAATTAACAGCAGACCAAGTCAAAAGCTTCTATGAATTAAGTCTCATTAAGTCTCTAGAAGAATGTCATTATCCTTTTCTAAAAAGCTGCTAATGCCTTTCATCTTGAAGTTACTTGCAACTTTTTAATGGCTTCTGTAGCTAAAGTAGACTTCTAAGAAATCCAAGGCATAAAATGTCCCCCTCACTTCATCTTGTCATGTGGAATCTAAATCTACTTACAATTTTTAATGCCTTTATCAAAACTGCTTAAAAAGTCTAGAGACATGTAGATGAGACAATATAATGTATGTAAAGAAAACTGTTCTGATTCTTGCTGTATTCATCACCACATGCTCTGATAGGCTGTCAGCACTGATTTAGACGCAGTTTAACAGTAGTACTTATTGTAACCAGTATTACATGGGAATGTGCTGATATATGGTGATCTCTCTCGATTGGATATGTGGATCTAAATAGTTGATCCTCACAAAGGACAAAAAATGTTTTCCATGCAAATACTAATCTTGCAACTAGCATAACACTAATATTTAAAAGGTTATACAGCTTTAAGAATGTGTTATATTCTGCATGAGTTATCCAACAAATGAAATACTGATTTTTCTTTTAATTGGTATCTAGTGCTGTCATACATGGAGATGGTGAGAGAAGAAGTTGTTCTCAGAATGGTCCCTGCTGGACCGAGCTTTACAGGTGCTTTCAAGTCCTTGTTTTCCCCAAGACTCCAGAATTGGAGGGGGTTGAGGGTGTAAATCATTTAGTTCTTTACCTTTGGGACTCCTACTTGGAGTTGGTTTTCATATACAGAAGGAAATTATTTTATTGGCCTAAGCAGTTTCTAGACAATCCAACATAGCTCAGTCTTAAAATCAACCTGTAAGGTAACTGAATCATTTTTTGTCCTTTGAGAGAAATGGGAGATAGTCAAGCCATATCTGTATCTGTGCCAAAAGAGGTAATTATGGTGTTAGCTCGTTTCCCAGTGCTGGTGTAGTACCTTCATTGGCATAAATGTTGCCTAAAATAATATCCTTTTTAATTTTATCTTGAGGTCTGGGAATAGATTTGAGTTCCTTTTCTCTAATTTGATTTTTTTTTAAATTAAATATGCCTAATGGCTTTGTTTAGATAACATCAGTGGTTGGTTTTTGGTTTTTTTTAAACATGGTTATACTTCAGTGAGCTTTTATTTTCTCTATAAAAGCTTTGTTTCGTGTTCTGGGACATTATGTAATTTGGCTTCATACCAGTATTATTAAACTCCTATTAAAATCCACTACATTGAAGTAGACTCATTATTATAATATTAAGCCATGTGCTTGGCTCCAGAGTGCTGCTGTTTTTGCAATCATATGCAAAGCATATTTTGTGCATTTGTGATATTACATAAAGTGTAATGTTCATGAACCATTTGGCTACTAAAGGGAGCATTGTAATGTATTATAAGAGGTGTCCATTTATAAAGTAATTTTTGACTTTCTCTTTTTTTCCTACAACTGTTTTCCACCTCAAAATTGGTTTGTGGCTTACTGCCAGAAGAAGAAATTTGCACATATGTGGAGGGGGAGGGTGAAACCTGAAAAATTACTTTAATAAAATGTCACTAAAACAGCTTATGCACATCTTTTTCTTTGGCCTGAATTAATAAGTAGAAGCATTTTGAGTTATACTGGTCTGACAATGGGACAGACAGGAGAGAAGAAGCAGAGTTTTTTTGTTTGGGCAGCAAAATTGCTGTTTTCTTCAGAGATAATTGCTGATCTATGTTCAGACCTAAAAGATGTATGCATTGTGATTCTGGTTAGCTTAAGTATTTTTATGTCAGACCTTGGATAATGGGGATGTATAATGTGCATAAAAACTGAGGAGTTTTTTGAACCAATATCCCGGTGTTTTTAGGAATGTCCTATTTTTTATAATGACTTTTTTTTTTTCACTGGGATTTTTCTGTTTGTGTAACAAAAGAGCAGTACTGGAGAATATGATGGGATTTTAGATTTCTTCCAGTCAGTTTTTGATCTGATAGAGCCACATATACAAGTATTCAGTGTAATTATCAGTTGACTCGGGCTAAGGAAGTGGGCTCTCTGATTTCCAGGGCAACTTTATGGAAAGAGAAAAAGCACATGCACAACGCTTGAGACAGTGCGTGCTTAGTTTGACGTCAATGTTTTACAGCAAATCTTAAAGAAGGTTTGATCCTTACTTCTTGTTCCTGTCTGGAAATCTGTATGCTTCTGGCTTTTTTTGGCTTGAGTTCAGGAGATAGTGCTTTGACTTCCAAATAAAGAATAATTACTAGAGGAAACAATGAAAACGGGTAAATATAATAAACTGTGTTTCTGCTCCTGAAGCTCAAGTTCAAGATGAATAGAACCATTTGGCTGGAAGAACCTCTGGAAGGCATTTACTCTTACCCCTTGCTGAAAGCACCTTTGACTTACAAGTTAGATCCAGTTGCTCAGGCCTTGTCCAGGTGAGTATCTCCAAGAACAGATATTCTGCAGCCTTTCTGGTCATCCGTTCCAATACTTGTCCTACACTCACTGCATCTTTGTCTTTTTTCTTCAGTCAGAATTTCCATTGCTACAGCCTATGTCTATTGCCTCTCATCCTTCTGTTGAACATGTCTGAAAAGGGTCTGTCTGTCTCCTCTATAACCACCCATTAGGTAGCTGAAGTCAGCAGTTATGTTCACCCCACCTTTAACCTCTTCTCCAGGCTGAACAAATCCCACGCTCTCATCCTTTCTCATGCATCATGTGTGCCATCCTCTCACCATCTTGGTGTCCCCTCACTGTCTGTCTCATACAGGGAGCCCAAAGATGAGACTACTCCAGATGTGCTCTTACACAAGCTGAATAGAGAAGCACGAATCATCACTTCTGTTGACCTGTTGGCTACACACTTTCTAGTAGAACCTGGTATGTGGATAGCCTTCTCTGTTGCTAGGGCACTTAATCTTCTTGTCCACCTGGATTCCTGAGTCCTTTTCTTCCAAGGTGCCTTCCATCCCGTGGGCACCCAGCCAGCATGGAGCTGTTCTGGTTTTGGTGCAGGACTTTGTTGTGTTTCCAGCAACCCATTCCTCCAGCTGTTAGTAATCAGCCGTTGGTACAGCTGGACTTTGGAGCACTGACCCACTACCCTTGGAGCCAACCTGAAGTTTCCAACCTGAAACTTCATAGATCCCATCGTGGCCACCTGCACCACCCCTCCAGCCTGTTGGGGGAAGGGGAGGTGACTACAGGCTGAGGCTTCATTAAGGATCGCTTGAAAAAAACAGTATGGGAAGCTGAAAGGAGACTATGGGGAGCATTTTGGTAGTTACTTGAGCAGCATTAGTTGGAGGAAGAAGTCACATTCAAATAAAATTCTGAGATCCGATCCAGTTCAATATAACTCTTATCTTAAAGGTTAAATCAAAATCCTGCCGTCATATAGATTTTCCTTCTAAATATTATTCCGTTTCCCTGTCAGAGCACCCAAGGAACTGGCAATCTTATTTACATAAATTTCATTTAAGAAAGGGTGGTTTCACAGGCTGGCATACTGAATGAGAGCATAATCGCCATCTTCGAAGCTTTGATCACTGACTGAGCATTTTATTGCCTTGTATATTAGGAATATTTTCACAAAGATAACAAGAAGTGTGCTGTGACCAGTACGATTGTTCTGATTTCCAAAACAGCCTATGATAACATTGGTAATAAAAGCTCTTCTGGTGCGTCACTCGCACTGAAAGCCTTATGTGCATAGCTGCAGAAGCTGCAGTAGTTCACCAGCTACCAAAATGAATCCTGCAGGAATTTCAAACTGTTACAAACGAGCAAAATAAACAAAAATTCTGACTTGCCACTTTTGGCTTTTCTCTCTGAAGCTGGGGGTTGGGAGTCTTTCTGCAAGTGAGGTGGGATGAAGAGCAGAGGCCTCAACTGATCTCCCTAGAGCAGCAATTACACAGGGCTAGATCTCACCCGAGGACCTGGGAGAAGTTTACAAGGTGCGGCTGGGGCTGCGGGGAGCAGGTGGGCTGCAGGGAGCCTGGAAGCTGCTGTCGAGTGGTGTGAGACTCACGAAGGAGCAGCAAGCAGTGCTCTAGTAATTCAACAGGGCTGGCCTGGGTTTCAGCTACACTTCAGGATGAAGTACAGAAGTGACCACAGCTGAAAGGCCATTTATTTGCAGCTGTTTCTTCTCAGTTGTAGGTAAGAAAAGGATTTATACAGTATAGGGCTGAAAGTGTGAGAGGTACCAGCTCTTTCTCTCTTCAATGATGATGGCTCAAACAGTTTGCTCCACTAAAGCCTCTTTGAGCAGATTTCTCTGTACCTTCCCTTTAAAATCTGGGTTTATCTAATGTAAAACTCTCTGATTTGAGAACAGAGGGATAAAACTTGTTTCAAGTGCATAGTCTGCATCTGTTCCGTGTTCTCAGCCTTGGGAACTAGGGAAAGGCACACAGTGGAAAAGCATTAAACGGGACTGACTGTCTGAGAAACCTTTAAATCCACGTTCCCTTGCTTTTACACTTAAGTCACCTCTTTACTTCTCTGGCTTGAAGGAAATTATGGAAAAAGGAGGAAAAAAAAAGGATTTGTGAACTCTCTCTGCCTCATTAAAAAAAAAATAACACATTTCCCAATATTTACAGCTCAGTTAAATGGCAGCAAAAGCTTTAATGAAGCGTGTGGTTAATCAAGCTATGGAAGGGTGCAGCATTTTATTTTATTTTGCTGGAGCAGGAGCTTAATTGCAGTAGCTTGCTTCCCAATGCTGCTCATCTCCAGGAGCAGTGGATTTACTTTGCCCTAACACTTCCATCGCATTGATGTGGCTGGGCTTTGAACCCTTTCCCGGCTGAGGAGGTATCGGGGAGGAAGGTGCTGGGGGCAGCTCTGTCCCTGTGAGGCACCACCAGATAACTGTGGCGGGAGGGCTGCTGCTGCCTGTCGCTCCGAGTAACGAACAGGAAGGGCACCATCTTTTTGTGAACTGTGCAGCAGAAGGGCAATGCTTAAAACAGAGATAGATGTGACAGGGTGCATGAATTACACTGATTCGTTTTGTGTCCCTATCTGTTTTTTCTGGGGTTTTTTTTTAGGAGGAATTAAGGAGCAGGGGAATAGGAAACTGCTACTTCTCTCTTCTACGCTTTAAGGCTTGTGCTGGACAACATGGTCTCTGTCAGGGCACTTCCTCTCATCCAAATATGAGGCAAAAAAAAAAAAAATCAAGCTCAATGTGCTAGATTCTTAGTTGTTGACATTATTTACTGTGCTCTTAACAAACGGTGCCCCAAGGAGAATGAGAATAATGTGCTCCAGCAGCAAAATATGCATAATAAAGAAGCAATTGCCTATGGTTTCCTGGGATTTCTTACTCTGTGCTCTCTACTTCCCTATCCTTTCATTGTTTCAAGCTAATGTGTATTTCAATTCTGCCATGCAAATATGCAGAAGGACTCCCTGCAGCAAAGGAGAGGAAACAAAGTATTTTCAAATCACTGCTTCACTGGTATAAGTCGTGTCTTGGTTTGCCAGAGACTTGGGTACATTCTTTAGTTGGCTGTGTAACTCCGCTGTTGCTGGTTGTTGACTCGTGCTAAAGTCTTTTATGTGGCATATCTTGTGAACAGGGTTTTTTTTTCCCTCCACTGTTCAATCGACTCTGACTGTCAATCAGAATGTTGCTGGGTAAACAGGACTGATTAAAATTTTAATTTTGTATTGTAAACAATATGACACTTTAATATTTGTACTGTTATTAAAGATACTGTTAATGATGTACCTAGTATGTTGTGGTACAGTTTTCACATTTATTTCTTGAAGCGCTGACAAGTTTTGCTAGAGAGCTTCACATTCATATGCCAGGATTTTGTATTCCATGTATTCCCTTTTGCAAGGGTGACTGTACTTAATTATAATGGGTATGGGTACCCTATTTATTCTTTCTGGTTTTAAATCTAACGGGGAAGAAATGTTCCTGTGACAACTGGGAACATTACACTGTAAGAAACAGCCATATCATGAATGCCTTGTCTATATGAATCTACTGTTGCTGTTAATGTTGCTTATCTATCTTCCTGAGAAGAAAAAAGAGAAGCTAATTAGGTGTGGAAACACCTTACACATTATAAGTGTTGGCTGGTGCTTGGAGACTTGCCCTTAAGAAAGGCACAGGGGAGACTAGAAAGTCTTCTACAGCAAAGGAAATTTGTGATGGGATGTTGAAGTCTTGAGGGTGGAAGGAAGAGGTGGAAGCATGTGTTTGCAC